AATGACAGAAAGCAGGACAGATGACAGAAAGCAGAACAGTTGACAAAAAGCAGAATAGATGACAGAAAGCAGAATAGATAACAAAAAGCAGAATAGATAACAAAAAGCAGAATAGATGACAAAAAGCAGAATAGATGACAGAAAGCAGAATAGATGACAGAAAGCAGAATAGATGACAGAAAGCTGAATAGATGACAGAAAGCAGAGCAGATGACAGAAAGAAGAATAGATGACAAAAGGCAGAACATATGACAGAAAGCAGAATAGACGACAGAAAGCAGAATAGATGACATAAAGCAGACTAGATAACAAAAAGCAGAATAGATGACAGAAAGCAGAATAGATGACAGAAAGCAGAGCAGATGACAGAAAGCAGAATAGATGACAAAAGGCAGAACATATGACAGAAAGCAGAGCAGATGACAGAAAGCAGAATAGATGACAAAAGGCAGAACATATGACAGAAAGCAGAACAGATGTCTGGCAGTAGAACAGATGACAAAAAGCACGTGCACATCAGATGACAGAAAGCAGAACAGATGTCTGGCAGTAGAACAGATGACTGGACACATAAAATATGATAGCAAGCAGAACATATTACTTGATTACATGCAGTCCTGGGCTTGAGAACATTATTCTTTTATCCAACAAATAACATGTAACCAACCTTTGTTCGAATCAATATTTTTGATAAACATAAAATGAAATGACATGAGTCGACAGTGCCAGCGATGTTATTGACTAATTTACATTCTATGAATTAACCATGACATTGGGGTAGTATTCAAACGATAATCCCGTTACTCCTGTTTTCAATTCAGTTTGAAAGCTGATTTCAAACTCGACGTAAAATTGCCCCGAAATCGATTTTCTTCAACGAATCAATTATCAAGTTACAACGTATCAAACATTTCCCGATAATGTTCCCTTCAGGTGACACTTGTCGTACATCTCGGCATCTCGGGACCAGTTTAGCTGACTTCCCTTGTGCATGGACATCCCTTTCAACAAATGAACTGTCACCGACTCCTGTTTCAACAGATACAAATCTTGATTGCTTTGACATAACCGTTGGCTTCAGGACATGGCATTCTTTGAAATCCAATGACGTCTCTTCACGAATCCACAAGCACCACGGTCGTTCCATTATAAACGTCTTTATTCCAGCTCTCGTGATTTCAGTTTTGACAATCCGCTAGTTTTTACTTTGTTATTGATTTCGCTTGCTTTTCTTTGAAATTGACGTTAAGTCCTTGGATGAGTAGCTTGTCTTTGATTTGAATCAACGGCGAGGATTGATTAGACAGTTCCTGGAAGTTTATCGTATGGTATATTTGCATGACCACGGAGACTAAGAACTTTCTGTCATATTAGATGTGCATGTATATTATTGGATAAGAAATTGAAATTGTATCTTTGTTCGGGAAAGGACATTCCCAGTGTTTGTCCGCCTGGATAATGTTAATACCCCGTCTGGATAATGTTATTACCCCCTCTGTCAGGTGTTATTACTAATGGATATAAATGGAAACCATAACTAATGCTACTTGTAAGTGAGTGATTGAGTTGGGTTTAACGCCGCTTTTAACAGTATTCCAGTTATATCACGGCGTGTCAGCTTAATGTGGGAGGAACGCCCGATGTGATGCAGGTCTCCGGCGTATACCACTTCGGTGAAACCCACGAGCACGGGTATTGTGCTGACAAACCTACAAACATAATCGGGGCGAACCGGGATTCGAACCCACAATCATCGGTTTCTGGCGTGTCCAAGGGACGCAACTCTGCACAGCGAATAGCGGCGCCTTAGACGACTGGAGCCCCCCCGCCCCAATTTTAAGGTCGAACATAAAAAAACACCTCATACAAACAAACGTTCAAGGGGGATTTTATGGTGTGATCACGGAACAAATCATTTTTTCCAAACGTTACTGGGGATTGATACTTTAGTTAACTTCACACAAAATCGTGCTGCAATATAACGAAACGATAATAAATTGTACAAATAGAACGTTGCCTGAATTATGTTTTGTGCAACCCGTCAACTTAAATGTCTCCTCGAAGAACAATAAAGTCAGAAATACTATTGACAACCTTTGCTGCATTGAGGTTAATGGGATTGGGAAAACTGGACACGCATATCTTGGATATTCTGCAGTGCAAGATTGAGGCCTTTGTTCATTGCAATAGGATTAATTGAATACGCTAGCAGTTCATCTTGTATATAAACGACGTCTGGTTGACTGGTATCGCCAGCCATAACGCAGATGACAAAGAATACACTCCCGACATTGTTACACGTTACCTGTTGTGTTTTGAAGCATGTTACATGTTAATCAGTGCTTCGCTTTACACCTTAAGTTGCCACTTTAACCCATGTTAAACGTAACATGATATTCTGTTAAACATTTCCCCATGTTACACGTTGTACGCTATTATTTGTTACAGGCTACATGCTTCTCTCTGTTACACGTTTCCCTATGCTACACGTTACACGATTTTCACTGTTACAGGTTACACGTTAAATCCCTTCGCACAATACATGATGTTACACTATGTTGCATGTTACATTATGTTATACGTAAGACGTTATATACCGCACTCTGTTACACATTTCACGCTACTCTATGTTACACGTTACCTTCTTTTATACGCTACATGTTATACTCCGTTACACGTTATATACTTCACTCTATTACACGTTACACTCTGTTACAGTTACCTTCTTTTATAAGCTACACGTTACACTCCGTTGTATACAACACTGTATATACGTGTAACGTTATATACTACACTCTGTTACACGTTACACTCCGTTACACGTTATATACTACACTCTGTTACACGTTATATACTACGCTCCGTTACACGTTATATACTACACTCTGTTACACGTCACACTCTGTTACAGTTACCTTCTTTTATAAGCTACACGTTACACTCCGTTGTATACAACACTGTATATACGTGTAACGTTATATACTACACTCTGTTACACGTTACACTCCGTTACACGTTATATACTACACTCTGTTACACGTTATATACTACGCTCCGTTACACGTTATATACTACACTCTGTTACACGTCACACACTGTTACACGTTACACTCCGTTACACGTTATATACTACACTCTGTTATACGTTACAATCTGTTACACGTTACACTCCGTTACACGTTATATACTACACTCTGTTACACGTTACACTCTGTTACACGTTACACTCCATTACACGTTATATACTACACTCTGTTACACGTTACACTCTGTTACACTGTTACACGTTATATATTACACTCTGTTACACGTTACACTCTGTTACACGTTATATACAACACTCTGTTACACGTTATATATTACACTATGTTACAGGTTCCACTCTGTTACACGTTACACTCTGTTACACGTTACACTCCGTTACACGTTATATACTACACTGTTACACGTTACACTTCGTAACACGTTATATACTACTCTCTGTTACACGTTACACTCCGTTACACGTTATATACTACACTCTGTTACACGTTACACTCCGTAACACGTTATATACTACACTCTGTTACACGTTACACTCCGTTACACGTTATATACTACACTCTGTTACACGTAACACTCCGTTACACGTTACACTCCGTTACACGTTATATACTACGCTCTGTTACACGTTACGCGATACTCTCTATTACAGAACGGATGAAAAATAGCTCTTGTTCAGTTCGGTTGTATTATGTAAAGCATCATTGTGTAACGCAAAACGTCCACGCAAGAGAATAATCAATCTCCAAAGGTATCTGCCAAAAGAGATTCTATTGGGTGTAAAAGGCTAAATAGCGGTAAAAGTTATGTGAATAGATCACTGAAAAACAGTTATGACACCAGGTGTCGGCGTTTATTGATGTAAAACTCTCAATGATGTCGTCACATTTAGGGACCGACCATTTGATATTGTGGTTGGCTGGGATTTTCTATCGAGATTACATATTTTTAAGCTACAGCTAGAGACACGGGTGGCCCAGTCGTCTAAGACGCAGCCATTCGCTGTGCAGAGTAGCGTCCCTTTGACACGCCAGAAACCTATGATTGTGGGTTCGAATCCCGGTTCGACCCAATTATGTTTCTAAGTTTGTCAGCACCATACTCGTGGGTTTCACCGAAGTGGTAAACGTCGGAGACCTGCATCACTTCGGACTTTCCTCCCACATTTAGGTGACACGCCGCGATATAACTGGAATACTGTTAAAAGCGGCGTTAAACCCAACTCACTCACTCATTTAGCTACAGCTACAAAACTATATACTGTTTTACTTAATCTAACAGCCTGATTTTTTTTATCGGATCAACACCTTGCAAGAATGTGACTAATCCCCCCCTATATATATCTATATATATATAATTAAATAAGTGGAGTAGGATTGAACACGTACGAGTCTCATCAGGCCATAACTGAATAACGGACATGAAGTAGTAACATATAGTTACGTGACGTCATAACATTTAGGAGATCTATGACGTCACAATACCAAGGTGACAATGGACAAATAACTTACGCCTTTACATTTACCTTAGGCGCGTATTTATGAATGAAATGTTGCTCTTTTACACTCTGTTACACGTCACTCTGTTACACTAAACAGAGTGTAGTATGTAGTATGTAGTATGTAGTATATAGACGTCACGTAACTATATGTTACTACTTCATGTCCGTTATTCAGTTATGGCCTGATGAGACTCGTACGTGGTACGAGTTGAAAGCGCTAGCCTATTAAAACTGTGTTCAATCTTTCTCCACTTTTTTAATCATTACTATATTGTGCCTGAGAGTTAGAACATTACTGTGCTTTATATATGTATAAATAAATGACAAATATATAAAAATAAATGAAAAATAAAACAAAACCAACAAATATCGTGCCATCGTAACACATGGGAGAATGTTCACCCAGGTTACCGTAACTATATTTCCCTCACTCATGCATTGCGTATTATCCTTCCAGACACGTACCACGAGGCCCTTCTGGAGTACTTTGAGGAGGCCGAACGCCTAGAGCAGGGGTCAGGAGGGGGACCAGGATTTGAGGGGGACGCAGAGGAGGAGGCACCCCCTGGAAGGGTTATTCGGTGCTTGAAGTGTGCGGGGCCCGAGGAGAGACCCGATGCTTGTACACCCCAGGAGTTGCGCCAGAACATCAATGACTACACAGTGGAGTGTCGCGGGCACTGCATGAACATAACCGCAGGTAGGACCTCTAAATGGGATGCTGTCTCTCTTGCAATACAGTCATCCAGGTGCAATATGTGCCGTATATTAAATCAGTAAGTCTCACCGTCAAGTGTGGCAGATAAGTGTTGGTCGGTTGGTCGGTTTGTTGTTTAACGCCGCACTTAGCAATATTCCAGCTATATGACGGCAGTCTGTAAATAATCGAGTCTGGACCAGACAATCCAGTGATTGACATCATAAGCATCCATCCACGCAATTGGGATCGACGACATGCATCAACCAAGTCAGCGAGCCTGGCCACCCGATCCCGTTAGTCGCCTTTTATGGCAAGCATGGGTTGCTGAAGACCCATTCTACCCCGGATCTTCACGGGTCAGATTAGTGTTTGAGATCTTATCAGACGGGCTTTAAAACAGGCAACTCTTTTATGTCGTATTTGTTAATCAGATGCATTCCTGACGAAGATTTGAAGTGAAACTTCAACACTTAATGAGACAGAGGACGTCCTCTGGTCTGTATTAAGAGTATTAATGTTTATATATGACAGGTAAAAACCTGTAATATGTAATCTAACTGTCGAAATGAAAAAAGAAGGCAGTCAGCTATAGTGTACATTTTATTACGCTAAATGCACTTATTAACAACGGCGCCAAATTGAGACTTTCCAAATCATTCACCGTGTAGACAGTTAACACTTTTCCTTTATATTATGTAAGTTAAATATGTAGGGGTATGTCGATAAAAAAAATACGTATTTCACTCGATGTCTAACGTGCAGAGGCAATCCATAAGGGTTCCTAAGACAATGAGGTTGAAAAGCAGTATCGTCCTAATTTAGTTTAAAGTGACTAATGCCGATTTTATAGTGCTCGCTCACTGAGATACAATGCCACAGTTTAACATGAATACCCCACTCAGGCACCGTAAACTGACTCCAGTCCTTGTTTTCGCCCCTTTATGCCGTGGACCGTCTCCGTGGTCTAGTGGTGGAGCGTCCACCCGGAGAGCGGAAGGTCCGGGGTTCGAACACTGCCGCGTCATACAAAAAGAAGTTAAAAGATTATACTTGTTGCTACCCTGCCTGGCTCAGGACAGTAACGGGAACATTCCCGGGGCCACAATTCGGGATCTGATTGCATCCATTGGACGACGATGCCAGTCAGTTTTGGACTCTAATGGTGGCCATACAAGATATTGAGAACAGATGAAAATCTACAGTTCCATGGGTCCTATATGGAACCTGGGTCCATGACAATGATGAGTGCCAGTTTTGAACAATCGATAACCACCTGTTGATTATTTATATGATAAAATATACATCTAAAATCTCTTTTGCGTTTCTGGTTTTTTTTCAGAGTACATTTCGTCCTTAATAGGTTTAAGTCACACCTGCTAAGATTTGAACAAAGTAAAGGTACATGGTTCTTGAATACTTTTAACCGCCTCCGTGGTCTAATGGTAGAACGTCCGCCCGGAGAGCGGAAGGTCTGGGGTTCGATCCCCGGCCGCGTCATACCAAAAGATGGTACTTGTTGTTACCCTGTCTGGCGCTCGGCATTAAGCGCCTAAAACAAGGACTGGTCGGCTCGGAGTCAGTATACTGTGTCTGAGTGGGGTATTCATGTTGAACTGCGGCATGGTATCTCAGTGAGCTAGCACTATAAATCGGCATCAGTCCGGACTAATACAAGCACACATACACGTGCATGCACGTCGCTATATAAGTGCAATAATCTTGGACGCGACGTTAAACCCCATTTCACCTCACCTCTTGAATACTTTATTGTCTAATTAATAAATACGAAATAGACTATCATTTTGCACTTCTGTTTTATCTGTTCTTAATGAAGACAGATATATCTCCTACAATGCCTTTCCAAAAATATTGTTAGATTCTCAAATTGAAATTCAAAGTTTCATCTTTGTTATTTTATCAATCTTTGAAAATAAACATGTTAGTTATTAAACTAGCATTATTTTTCCATTACTTTTAATATGCATGTACTTCCCAAAACATTATATTCTTTGACCTATATTCTACTGTAATCGTGGATAAGACATTTCGGAAACACTTTGAAGTAGAATACTCGATATTTCAAAAGAGAGTTATATGAAATAATCGATCGAATAAATCATAACTTGCATTACTGACCTTTATCCACAAACCTCGTCGCCATACTGAGTTGTGAACATGGCCATTTTAATTCACGGCGTATCACCAGACAGCGATTATATCAAGCTGACTGGACATACAGGGAGAGATTTTTGCTATTGTGTGTGTTTGATCACGTGTTGTCGGGCTGAAAATTGGATTTGACAGTCGGTCAGACCTGATGGACATTCAGCCCGTGATTGGGCGTCACGGCGTGGCAGTAGCGCAGAACGAAAAGAAGACATCATTTCGAAGAGACTTAACTCCAGCTAAATGCGTGATTTTTTCTCCTTTGAATGATCGTGTGCCTTTGAGGTTTTTATATTGACAAAGTGAGGCTTGAAACTTAAATTAGTAGGACATATTGTCTGTAGTTTTCAACTCAGAAGACATTCACTAGAGGTGGTTTAGCTTTTTGATCGGTTGGTTTGTTTTACTTAAGCACTATCTTTAATTATACACTTTGTGAAGACATTGCTGTATAAACAGCATCTTAAATATCTTAACTATACCCATTAAAAGTATTGAAATAAACGTAAAGTGCAGCCGCAAAAAGATCATATTCCATGTTCCATGCTGCCTAGAAACAGCACGACTGCTGTATCTATTTATTTCTTATCAGTGGGACCGATGTATATGTCAACGGGACTATTACTTTAACGAAAATGCGGTAATTCATACTTTAAAATACGAAACATTCCCCGAATTCAGACATGTTAAAAAATTCAAAGCGGAAACGAGCATACATCATCAGCTATCTCGTTGATATACATGTATAAGTATATCCGATTAGAGGAAGTTGCTTGGTGCACAACTTGTCATCGCAGGAAGTGAATCACACGATATATGTGTAAATACTTTGTTTATGCGTGTGTATGTATAGCGTCAATGATTGCTACAGATATTTAGAGGCATGTCATGCTGGACCTAGGTACACGATAGTTGGAGTTCTTACCTAGATTCCTTCTGAACACTGTAAATAAAATCGGTTGGAAGGCCACAAGACACACGAACAGAAGCCAAGCGCTTGTTGCAACGAACCTGATTATGTCCCTTGATTTGTCAGCACCATACCCAAGCTCGTGGGTGACCAAGGACACGCCCACCTTTTCGCAAAACACCTGGTGTCATCACTATGTTACAGTGGTCATAACCACATTCTTGATATGGAAATATAGCTCGGGCAATTAAATGACGTCATTGAAAACCCATGTTTATATAAAGCACGCATAAATCAATTGCAAGTGATTTCGAGGCATTTGATTGGCTAAAAAGCAAATGTCCTTGCGTTAATATTTCCAATAACGGACGACTGTTTCCTGATTGGCTTATAATAGAATGGGCAGGGCTTGTGTTGAATTATTACAACTGATTTCGCATACGGAAAACTACGGTTATAACGAACTCAAAGGGACCACTAATTTTAGTTCGTCATAACCGTAGTTCGTTAGAAGGATACATACAACATATATACAGCAAGTGGTTGGGACAAAAAAATCAGTTCGTTATATCCGTCACTTCGTTATAAGCGTGTTCGTTATAAACGTAGTTAACTGGTCAAATAAGCAGTCCGTGTTGTAGACGTATTCATTAACAAGAAAAGACCTTAATAATATGTTTTGGGGTTTATGGAGATATAAGCATAAAAACAGGTGTCCATACTTTGCGAAAATCCTAATTATGCACAGGCGTTTTCTGAAACTGACTCCAGTCACTAATTACAATACCTTGGCCTAGCCCGAACGTAGACACCAAGGGTCTAGCTACTTCCACAAAATCTAAGCGCTTAGATGATCGTAACTCCCATACTTTAACATGGGCTTATAATAGCCGTAGCGCTAAGGTGGGCCAGGGTCACGGCGCTTACACATGTCTAGCATCACTTCCGGCTTTCCTTCCACATTTTCATCCGCCGTGACATAACTGAAATCATTCGTGACCAACTCGTGACCAACTCGTGTTATTCTTCGACAAGCCGAATAGCGACTCGTGGCCCTCTCGTGGCCATTTTTGGTGACTGGGTTCCGTCTAAGCACAAACGGGCATGGTTAAAAGAATTGTCAACTCGTTGCGTAATGATTCACGTATATTTCCCCATGTCATGTATATTCTAGAGGCTATTTAAACACATCGGGACTTACGGTACTTATACAGTATGATTGAACACATTTAACTGTATCTAGGGTATATATTTAGATGCAAGACATATGTAAAATCAAATTTTTTTCCTGAGGGATTTTTTGACCGCACATTCTGTTTTTATCGTTTTTTCGCACCTAACATTCATCGACCAGGGGACGAGTCAGGTTACAGAAAGGGGCGAGTGTCTTCTTGCAGGTTACGGAAAGGGGCGAGTGGTGACGAATGGACTGAAATACAATTCAAAGAGGAGTACGCCAGCTCACTCGTTAGTGCCGTGGAAATAATTATACAGGATTAATTCTTTCAACATTTGAGATGGACAATATAATCTACATTTTTTTTGTAAAATCTGAAGGATATTCCTGTTACCGAACTAATATCATGTTTCAAACATAATTATCGTAGCTCTCCATTTTAGCCAGATCGTGGGGTTAGTGTACAACAGAAAGAAGGGCGTGTACATTAGGTAGTTACCCAGCAGTTGCTGATGCGTTTTATCAACATCAGTTAACATTGTGTATATACCTTGTATGAACATGCACGTGTAAGGTAGCCAAACATTATATGCACTTAAACGAGTGAGTGAGTGAGTTGGGCTTATCGCCGCTTTTAACAGTATTCCAGTTATATCACGGCGTGTCAGCTTAATGTGGGAGGAAAGCCCGAGGTGATGCAGGTTTACCACTTCGGTGAAACCCACGAGCACGGGTATGGTACTGACA